AGACCAGCAGGAAGCACCTGGCTCATGGCTTTGGATCGGCACACCCCCCAAATGGCTGGCCATGGTGGCCATTTGGGGGGTGAACCAATGGAGGGAGGACCTCTCTCTCTATCTCACTCTCTCACTGACTAACTCTGCCTATCAAAAAAAAAAAAAAAAAAAGGATATAAAGAAACTCTGTGATTAACATCATACCTAATGATGCTTTGTTCCTAAGATTACAAACCAGGAAAAAGTGTCCACTCATCATTTCCATTCAACAAAAGCTGGAAGTACTAGCCTGTTTAATAAGGCAACAATTTTAAGTAAAGACATGCAATAGTTAAAGAGGAAAGAAATAAGTTTTTATTTGCAGATAATATGATCATAAAATCTCACAGAATTTATGTTGAAAAAATAAGCTTATAAATGCGTTTATCATTATAATGAATATAAAGTCAATATAAAGTCTATTGTACTTCTGCACTGAAAATGAACTATCAAATTGAGAAGTTTCTGTACTGCAAAAGAAACAGTCAGACGAGTGAAGAGACAACTGACAGAATGGGAAAAAATATTTGCAAACTATGCAACAGATAAAGGGTTAATAACCAGAATCTACAAAGAGATCAAGAAACTCCACAAAAACGAAACCAACAACCCACTTAAGAGATGGGCCAAGGACCTCAATAGACATTTTTCAGAAGAGGAAATCCAAATGGCAACAGGAACATGAAAAAATGTTCAAGTTCACTAGCAATCAGGGAAATGCAAATCAAAACCACAATGAGGTTTCGCCTCACCCCGGTTAGAATGGCTCACATGCAGAAATCTACCAACAACAGATGCTGGCGAGGATGTGGGGAAAAAGGGACACTAACCCACTGTTGAGGGAATGTAAACTGGTAAAGCCACTATGGAAGTCAGTCTGGAGATTCCTCAGAAACCTGAATATAACCCTACCATACAACCCAGCCATCCCACTCCTTGGAAATTACCCAAAGGAAATTAAATTGGCAAACAAAAAAGCGGTCTGCACGTTAATGTTTATTGCAGCTCAATTCACAATAGCTAAGACCTGGAATCAACCTAAATGCCCATCAACAGTAGACTGGATAAAGAAATTATGGGATATGTACTCTATAGAATACTATACAGCAGTAAAAAACAATGAAATCAGTCATTTGTAACAAAATGGAGGAA